GGAAAGAGATAATGGTTTTAAACTAAAAGAGGGTAGATTCAGACTGGATATAAGGAAGAAACTTTTTACAGTGAAGGTGGTGAAACACTGGAATGGGTTGCCCAGAGAGATGGTAGATGCCCCATCCCTGGCAACATTCAAGGTCAGGTTGGATGGGGCTCTGAGCAACCTGATCTAGTTGAAGTTGTCCCTGCTCATTGCAGGGGGGTTGGACTAGGCAGACTTTAAAGGTCCCTTCCAACCCAAACTATTCTATGATTCTATGGATATGAATCAGGCATCACCATTAAATCGTGATGGGTATGTCACAGAGATGAATAGGACTTTTTTCAGTTTTTCCCTCTGGTGAAGGAATGCAGAAGATTGTCAACAATAAGGCAAGCAGACAATCAAAGGATTAAGACAAGGATTGGATGGGAAAAATATGAAGAGAAATACATCAAAGGTATTAAGAAAAGGGGAAAAGAGATTGACAGGGATTTGTAGTGAGTGATTTGGTTTCCCTGCAGCATAAAAGTCATCATCAAAAAACCCAAAAAAAGGTCAAATGCCTGCCTACAAGAAGTTGGACACCCTAAGAGAGTGTGGAGGGGATGACATGCCACTGCACTTGTGGAGCTGACTGTTTTCATATAAGCTTCAGTCACATTCACTAAACATAAAAAAAGGGTTTATTCATAAATTGCGCAAAACCAATCTGGAAGAGTTACATTCTGAACTCAAAAGTTCACACTTTCTGTAAGGTTCTGGAAATGGTTTATTTTTTTGTGCGATACCAGGAAAGTCTAAATAGTCAGTGCTGTTGTCTTGGGGATCTAGAACTGTGGGGTCATGTGCACCTGCAAATAATGAAAGATATACGTGAAAGGAAGCCAGGTCTCCTGCAATATGGACAGACATTTTTTGGAAAATCTGTTCAAGATAAATAGTTGCATTTTCAAATCCTTAAGTCTAGGGAACTTAATCTTGCTCAAAAAACCCCATCATTTTCTTGGAAAATACTGTGTTTGTGCAAAACTTTCTAAGGAGGTTGCAAAAATCAGAACAATCTAATGAAAACGATCAGGTAACACTGGGCAACGTACAGATCTAACACATGAGTAAGGAAAAAACGTACTTTTCTACAGAAAAAGTAAAAGACAAAAGGAGCTGGAGTATGGAAGAAGGAGTTAAGCGAAAACGTTGTAATTTTCATTGCTAAGCCTGCAGCTTTGCTCCTCTACTTGGACTGATTTACCTTTGTGCCAGGTCTCTCCGTATTCACCACCACCTCTGATGTTCGCCACCGCTAGAACACCCCCTAGGTGTCGCACAAAAATAAGTCTTGACACACTGAAAAAGCAAACAGACAGAGGATTATTTTTAATTTCCAATCTTTATATCCTTACCACTTTTACAAAAATATTTTGAGGGAAAGCTCTCTCCCAAAATCAATGATGAAATCATGAATGCAGTCCCTCTTGATGGCAAACCTGAGTAACCAGGCTTTTTTCAATGGTTATCCATGGAAATGAAACCCCCTGCAGCCTTGGGAGAGGAAGGAACCCGTGCTGGTCCATTCTTCCTCCTTTAGTTCTGCACTTCGGAGGAGAGTGGCCAGCGGTTCTGCCTAACAGAAGACACCCCCAGGACACGTCAACATTTTTTTTTATTCTCTTCAAAGCCTTCAGTGCAGGGATTAGAGCTATTCAGTACCACTGCATCTCCATAGCTTTCTCAACTGTTCCTCTTCCGTGGGCCTTCTGCTTTTTCAGAGAGAAAAGGAGCGCTTAGCCAAAATGAAGAAAGCAAAGAACTAAGACTTAAGATCAGCACCTGATCTTTGTTTATGAGCAGGTATTTTCAACTTTTGCTTAATGTACTGTTTTTTAGACCTTTATAAAACTGTTTGCAAAGAAAAACTCTACTTCTACCATTGTTTTGTGTGCTAGGGTCTGCAGACACTTCTGGCCAGTTCTTTTCTTATTTATTTTCCGCTTGCATTGCTAAACAGAAAACAAAGAGTAAAAAAAAAATAAATTAAAAGTTCTGTCTTCCCTACTATCTCTAGAACCTGGCTGAAAGCTAAAGTAGCATAATTTTTTTTTTACATGCCAAACTGAAAAAGTATCAAAGCAATTCCTATCTTTTTAAAAGGGTCTGAAGTAACTTAAATTATATTTAACAATTAAGAACAGGAATAGATCCCTGATCTGTTGAGGCAGTAGCTTAACATAGCAGCAGCTGCACATGGCAAACCACACATATGCCAAGGAGACCAGTAAAATAATAAAATTTAATCTCAGCAAGTCTTTTTTTCTCCTCTAGTAGCTTTAAATTCCTTATTTACTTGAAATCTTTGCTCACGCAAGAAACCACTGCCTGCAGAAATTACTCCTTTTCAACCACAAGAGCAAGGATTGGGCCTTTTCATCTTTAAGTCTCCCTACTGCTTATCAGAAACGTCTTGAAAGAAGGTAGTCCTACTGTGTGTCTCATGTAGATGTGGTATCAAAACAGGTAAATTTTTCATACCTCCCAAAGCTATTATCTATGTACTGGCACTTGTTTTTGACAGTTTATACCAAGGACTAAGGAAACAAAAAGAAAAGTAGAAGGGTAACAGGTAAGAGATTTCTGTATTTTCATAATCCATCAAAGGAAAACCTTTCCATCTAGGCTGGTTATCTGTGGCCATCAGATGGCTCAGGAGGCCTGAATTATCTCTCCTTCTGTAATATCAATGATGAAGTCAATCACTGAATTGTATTTCCTTAGATTGCTGTGACATGCTCGTCAGATGCAAGATTGATATTCTATAAGCACACTGTGCAAAGGTCAGAGAGCATTATTCTGTCAAACTCCAGGATGCCTAATTTTGACAGGTTCAACACAGCTAATGTGGAGTAGCCTGACAGTAAGTTGCCTCATGAAATCGTGACTTCTTAATTTTTGATATGTTACAGTAACAAAACATGCCAGAATATTCTGCACTTCTTTTCCCTGTCTCTGTCCTGGACAAAATCAGTAGAAACTTTCTGGTCCTAACTTACTTGATCTCCTAGTAGAGAATCAACGGTAGCAAGTATAGGAATTGCAGGTAAGGTAACAGCTTGCTACCCAAATATATTGCCTGAGAATATTTAAAAAATAAAAAAAAATCCAGAACAGAGTCCATACTCTTCCATCTGCTGAAAGAAACTGTGTCTGTCTGAGGGATCAGCATATTTAACCAGCAAAGAGTTTGTAAGCAATGGAAAACCAAAGTATTGAATGCATCCTATCCTGTCCATGAACCCCTCTAACAGAGACGGTATCTTGATGATAATTTTTGGAGGGGTCTAAGTGTCTTAGGATCTCATAGGATATGCAGTCCTCTTACCATAGGAAGCTAGTCCTTATTTCCACAAGCAAACAATTTTTCTGTCGCACAGACCCTCAACAGGTGAAGTCCAGAGTTTGGTAACAATCATCATATCGCCCAAACTGTAAGTAAGGTTTTGTAAACCTGTACTCATTCTCAGCAATACTACTGGGATTTAGGCACTTCAGAAAAGATTACCCCATATACTCCAACATATACATCTACTAATGTCACTGCCAATGACTATTCATTAATACCCACTCTGATATGGTCAGCATTAAAATGAGTCAGGACCCTAATTTGACCAATACTTAGAGGCAGATGTGCCTACAGCTTATAACAAGCTTTCTCAAAATGACTTTTAAGTTCAAGGAACCAGGTTTTATATGTGTATAATCAGGACTCATTAACTTTTTTAAAAAAGTCAAAATTCCAAGGAACAGACAGCACAAAATTCACATTTCATACACAATCCTGCTACTGCCTCCTGTGTTCTTCCAGATGGGTTCTTGCTTCCAGATTTGATTTCAGGTCAACTTGGTGTCTGAGTCACAGCAAACTGACCAGTTGCCCTGGATGCCTACGAAATGGCTCGTTCTGCATCCCTGTTTTTCCTTCTCTCCTGGGACCAGCGTAAAGAAAAAGAGTAAAGTAAAGGGCAACAGGGTCAAGAAGAAGCCCATGGAGGAGCATAAGGTAGTTCCTTCCCTGGAGAGCTCCTCCCAGACCCTATCATTCTTACGTAGCGTAACACAAAAAATAAGAAAACAGGTATTGTTTTTTTACAGTACAGTACAACGTGAGAAGCTGTACTTCAAGGAGCAAGAATGCTCTCCCAGAATTACCAATCTGCTGCCAGGTCTTACAGGTGACAAAGAAACGCAGGCTGGTGCACTAGCGGTGGGGAAAAATCCCGAGTTACTGGACTTGGTTGCTTTCTTGGCTTTTGTGGAGCAGGAGGGAGTGGTAACAAAGTACCTGAAAAGAGCAATCTTGCACTCTGCACCCGTGGCTGCTACATTGCCTGACGTTTCTGTGGGCTTCCAGCCTCTCCCTGAGCCACCTCTGTGCTTAAAGGCTTGGCACAACCTGGCCCCGCAGCAGCAAAACGTCATTTCCCAGTCTGCTTCACCATCAGCTGTATTCCAAGATGCATTAGAAATTGCTTCTCCTGTACCCACACAGGCACATATGGAACAGTGAAGGGAAAGATGTTGGTTCCTGCAGGGTAATTAGCCGGATCTGAGGTGCTGGAGGTGGGTTTGTGACGGCATTTCCCCAGCAGCGCTGCCAAGCCACTGGTGTCGGCTCCATCAGCTTGCACTCACACTCGCTATGCAGGCTGCATAATTGATGACAGTACTCCAGCGGGCACCATACTCTAAATGCTACCAAGTGCAGCTCTTCAGTCTAGAGAGGCATATAAAAGATGCATGCTTGCATTCAAAAATAAACCACTACTGTAACTGACTTAATGACTTTGGCCTATCATTCTCATAGTTACTTCTGCATCTTCTAACCTGTTCATTTGTTTCTATTGCTTTCAGTGAAAAAGATTTTATTTTCATTTTTTGTGTTGCAGGAAAACTGAAAAGCAACATCAGTTTCTGAATTAAGCAGAAATAAGTTCCCCAAGCCAGAGAGCTGGCTCGCATTAATGGGTGTGAAACATCAGTTAGATAACATCGTACTGGCTTGACGAAATACAGGATAGAAACGAACCACTGGAAAGGAGCAGATGAAGTGCTTTATGAAAATTTGTAAGAGCCCTAGGTTCAAATAAAAAAACAGGAACATTTATCCAGGAACTTATTCGTTTAAAGGTAAGCAGGCTACTACTCAGTTGCATTTCCATAGCCGTCTTGGCTCAAGACCAGGTGAACTACGTGGCAAGCCTGAGCCTTGACCATCCTGTGGCTGCTTTCTAGCACTTGTGCCTGCGGTCATCTACAAAATAAACCAAAAGACCAAATCATGGTGTTGGGCTGAGGCTGGAGCAGCATTTGGACCTGGGAACTCCTCATGGAATACTGCAGTATATGGTAACAGGGATGTAGTCAAACGCTGCTTGAATCTGGCAGGTAAAGGATGAACTGGATGCCCTGCCTTTCTGGCATAAATTTTCTATCACAATTTTCTTCCCTTGATCTTGCCGGCCTACTTTTGGAACACACTTCCTCCTCGAATACTCAATTCTCAGGTTATTAACCATAAAGATGCATTTGAAGGCTTTGGCTTTTCTTATTTTTCTTTTAGAAAGGATGAGAAAGGATAAGTTGATACTACAAGTGAGAGAATGAGGAGGGAGGTGTGGCCAACCCTGTTTTATTTACATTGTCAGTGGGATAATGTATTTTGATCTGGAGGCAACTGGTAGTTCTCTGTGCATTTACTTTTAAGCAACTGTTACAGATTCATAGTCTTATTTTATGAACTGTGTAATAAAAATTTCATACGGTTCAGAAAGACATAGGTCACTGCTCCCACCTTCCACCTTCCTCTCTTCTGACTGTCAGCTGCTGCTGCTGCTTGTTGGACTCCTACGAGATCAATTTTTACCTTGCCAGAATGGCAGAAAAATCACCCACTCCATCTTGTTGGGATAGTTTTCTACCATTCTTGCGAGGTACATCAGCTTAGCAAAGGTTCCAGCAAGCACCAGGGACAATAGATGGGAGATGGAAGGAGGCACTGTGAGATACCTTCTCCTTTTGCCAGCAGCCAGCTCATGTCAGCTCTGCAATATGTCAAATTTTATCTTAAATCAATAGATACATAATATTTACTTTAAAAAAGACAACATGATAAGTTTTATCACAGTTTTCAGCATCTACAATAAACTGTAATAAATCAGTGCTTAAGCCTAATCTAAAAAGGAATTTAAAAACTATTCTGGTTATATAATGGTATCTCTCAAAACCCATGGGAAATTAAAAATGTAGCTTTACAAGGCAGATCAAAAATTTTCAAATAATCACAGAACACAAGATGGGAGGTCCATTGTTAGACAAGGTATTTGCTAGAAAGGCTGAGAAACTGTAAATGCTATTTAGAAATACAATCACAGTGACCTGGAAAAGCAAGCACTACAAAGGACTTCTTGAAATGTGCTGACTCTAAAGCAAGATGGGTAGACACCTAAACTTAATAGGATGGTTTCATAATAGATTATTTTTGTGCTGGTGAGCTGCTCTTCCACTATCTGAAAAATTGCTCTCCATTCAGTCCTTTGCATTTCCGTTTGCCCCTGCCTCGCCTAGCAGCATTTCTTACGTATTACAGACAATCACTGCCTCTTGCTAAGTCTATTCAAATTCCCTTGCTGAGGAAATAAGCCTTTTCTTTAAAGAGATCATGTATTCAATAAAGCTTATGGCTTTTGAGGGCTATAAATCCTGTTTTGCACACAGCATTTTTGGTTTACAACGTGTTGCACTGCATATGCAGAGCCCACATCATGTACATCTCAAGACAGAATCCTCCTTCCTCTTTCCTGATTATATGGGAACACAGTAGGGTGTTGCTTCTGATGTAATCTCCTCTAAAGTATAATATGAAAATACAGCTAAATTTTAATTATTTACATTAATTTAAACAAATACTTCACTTTCTATGATATTTAGACATAGGTAGTTGTATAATTTGGAAAAAAGAAAACTTCTGTGTTACTAGTTGAGCAAAGGGCTCAAATACTTACTTAATGTAGTATTGCCATATGCTTTTCTGTTGAGCTCAGTGACAAAGCAGGAAGAGTTTAAGGTGTAATCCCAAGGACAGGGTGCCTGCTGTAAACCTCAGAAGAGCACAGCACTTCTCTGCTCTGACACAAATTTCTTTTGTGACCCTGGGCAAAACCCTCAAATTCAGAACTAACCAGCAGACAAATGATGCCTGGACTAAGATGTGCGGTCCATATGGCCCCCACCTTGCGTCACGTGGAACTGAAACACACTATTCTGTCAGATCCATAGTCTGCCCTCAGTCTGTGACAGCTCTTAATACCAGATACTTCAGAAGAAGGTATAAATTACCCTGCTTACCTGTAGCTTGGTGTAATTGATATGTTGAAGCCTCCATACCCGTACAAGAAGGCAGGATGAGAACCATCTAATTTAATGCCTTTCTTGTGAATAATAAACATTGGGATCTTAGTACCATCTTTGCTAGGGTAGAAAACCTAAGACAAGAGAAAAGGAAATTTGTAACGCTGTTATTGTTGTAACACTCCACATCTGCTGTTAATAAGAATCAGAGGTGATCACGCTCATGGTCGGGTTCAGTAATGGCCACCACCTGTTTGGTTGCTTAATAGCTCTGGAAAATGTATCAAACAGTACAAAGTATATGACAGTATTTTTTTAATATAATTTACCAATCCATTTTACATACCAAGGGGATTATGAAAATGCTACAAAAACAACACAATTCTCTGCAAGGAAAGACTGGCATTGTGAAAACGCAAGAACTGCATGGTCTGTCATATATTAAAGCAGCAGAGAATGAGCTGACAAGGAGAATGAACAGAATTAAAACCAGATTTCTAACCTAAAATTAGAACTTCTAAAAATGTCTCCTTTTTAAAATTTCAAAATTTCATACACAGAGACCAGTAGACAGAGAAGAAAGAAACTCATGATAGGGTGGTGACTTAGCGAGACCCCACTAAACATTACACTGTTTTGGATAACAGAGTGCTATGTTTTCCCAAATAAATATGTAGAACTCTCTGAAGATCTGGTCTTGTACCACTGAAATCACAGAGTATTCTTCTATTTCACTTGAAGCAGCAGCCTTTGCTTGAAAAAACAAATTTAACCACAAGCAGAAGGCTAAAGATATTCAAAAAGTCACAGTATTTTAGTACTAATAAATTGGCATTAACAACATTTATCAATGGAGTCATTCCATACACCAGATTCAAGTCAAAAGAATAAACTTTCAATAGCTGAATCATAGAATATCGTAGAATGGTTTGGTTTGGAAGGGACCTTATAGATCATCTGATTCCAACCCCCCTGCCATGGGCAGGGACACCTTCCACTAGACCAGGTTGATCAGAGCTCCATCCAACCTGACCTTGAACACTTCCGGGGAGGGGGCAGCCACAGCTTCTCTGGGCAGCCTGTGCCAGTGCCTCACC